GTGGAGAAAGGCTACACTGAGCCAGAAGATGAAGCTACTCTGTCTCAGCCCCAGAAGGAGAGTTTGAAAGATTCAAGAAAGAGAGACAAGAAGGCTCTCTACCTCATCTACCAAGCATTAGATGACAATGGCTTTGAGAAGGTCTCGAGTGCAACCTCTGCCAAGCAAGCATGGGAGAAGCTTCAAACCTCTTACAAAGGAGCCGAACAAGTGAAAAAGGTTCGTCTTCAAGTATTAAGAGGTGAGTTCGAATCTCTACAAATGAAAGGGTATGAATCAATCTCTGATTATTTCTCAAGAGTCTTAGCCGTTTCCAATCAATTAAAAAGAAACGGAGAAAAGTTAGAAGATGTTAGAATTATGGAGAAGATACTACGCTCGTTGGACCCCAAGTTCGAGCACATTGTCTTGACGATTGAAGAAACTAAAAACTTGGAAGAAATTAGTATAGAGCAATTAATGGGTTCACTACAAGCATATGAAGAGAAACATAAGAAGAGGCAAGGGAATGATGAGCAGCTCCTTAAGACGCATGTTCAGCCAAAGAAGAAAGAAGAAAGCTTCGACAACGAGAGAAGCCGATACGGAAGAAGTCGTGGTCGAGGTCGCGGACGTGGACATGGGCGTGGATGTGGTTGGAACTTAAACAACCATAGCAACTACGAAAGAGGAGAAAGCTCAACAAAAGGTCGCGGAAGAGGACGCTCAAACTCAAGGTATGAAAAATCTCAAGTTCAATGCTATAATTGTCAAAAGTTTGGGCATTATGCTTGGGAATGTAGAGCTCCAAACAGCAGACTTGATGAGAAGGTCAATTATGTGAAAGAAGAGAAAGAAGAGAATGGTGTTGTGCTACTAGCATGCAAGAACAATGATGGAGACCAAGACTATACATGGTACCTTGACACCGGCGCTAGCAACCACATGTGCGGAAGAAGAAGCATCTTCGTAGAGCTCAATGAATCAGTGAGTGGCAACGTTTCTTTTGGAGATGAATCCAAAATACCCGTAAAAGGAAAAGGTAACATCCTTATTCCCTTGGAAAATGGCGGTCACCAATTAATTTCAAATGTCTACTACGTGCCCAATATGAAAAGCAACATTTTGAGTTTGGGTCAACTCTTAGAAAAAGGTTATGATTTTCATACGAAAAATTATATCCTTTTTCTTAGAGATGACAAAGGAAGATTAATTGCCAAGGCGAAAATGTCAAAGAATAGGATGTTTCCCATGAACATTCAAAACGATGTTGCAAAGTGTCTCAAGATATGTTACAAAGACATATCTTGGCTTTGGCATCTTCGTTTTGGGCATCTTAACTTTGGGGGATTGGAGTTATTATCTAAGAAGGAGATGGTGCGAGGCTTACCGTGCATCAGCCACCCTGATCAAGTTTGTGAAGGATGTTTACTTGGGAAACAGTTCAGGAAAAGCTTTCCAAAGGAGTCGACCACAAGAGCCCAGAAGCCACTCGAGCTCATTCACACCGATGTGTGCGGTCCAATAAAACCAAGCTCTTTGGGTAAAAATAATTATTTCCTTCTCTTCATTGATGATTTTTCAAGAAAAACCTGGGTGTATTTCTTGAAGCAGAAATCAGAAGTCTTTGGAGCATTCAAGAAGTTCAAAGCCACTGTAGAAAATGAGAGTGGTTGCAATATCAAAGCCATGAGATCTGATCGAGGAGGAGAATTCACTTCGAAGGAATTTCAAGAGTTTTGTGAAGCAAATGGAATTCGTCGACCTTTGACAGTTCCAAGATCCCCTCAACAAAATGGAGTGGCGGAAAGAAAAAATCGAACCATCCTCGACATGGCTCGAAGCATGCTCAAAAGCAAGAAATTGCCTAAGGAATTGTGGGCAGAAGCTGTAGCATGTGCTGTCTACCTATCCAATCGGTCTCCAACAAGGAGTGTGTGGGGAAAAACTCCGCAAGAAGCATGGAGTGGAAGAAAACCAGGTATTTCTCATCTAAGAGTTTTTGGAAGCATAGCCCATGTACACGTACCAGACGAGAGGAGAACCAAACTCGACGACAAAAGTGAGAAGTTCATCTTCATTGGCTATGACACCAATTCAAAAGGCTATAAGCTGTATAATCCAAACAATGGGAAGACGGTGATCAGTCGAGACGTGATGTTCGATGAAGAAGAAGAATGGGATTTTGGCCCGCATGCAGGTGATCTTCACTTCTTTCCTCAATTTGAAGAAGATAATGAACAAGGGATGATGGAGCAAGCAAGAGAGGTTCAACAAGAATCCACTACTCCACCTGCTTCACCAACATCAACCAATCATGGTAATTCATCAGCATCAGCATTGTCAAGTGGGAGTCTAAATGAAAGAGAAGTACCACGCACAAGAAGTATACGAGATCTTTATGAGGTAGCTGAAAGACTTGATAATCCTACACTTTTCTGTTTCTTTGCTGATTGTGAACCAGTCGACTTCCAAGAAGCAGTGCAAGATACTAAGTGGAGGAAAGCAATGGATGAAGAAATTGAAGCAATCCAGAAGAATGATACATGGGAACTCGCTATTCTTCCGAAAGGACACAAAGCCATCGGAGTCAAGTGGGTGTACAAGACAAAGAAAAATGCCAATGGAGAGGTCGAAAGATACAAGGCAAGACTAGTGGCGAAAAGCTATAGTCAAAGAGCCGGAATCGACTATGATGAGGTATTCGCACCCGTTGCTCGGTTGGAAACCATACGATTACTAATTTCTTTGGCAGCTCAAAACAGTTGGAAGATTCAACAAATGGATGTGAAGTCCGCCTTTCTAAATGGAGTCCTTGAAGAAGAAGTCTACATTCAGCAACCGTCAGGCTATGAGATCAAAGGGCATGAAGACAAAGTTCTGAAGCTGAAGAAAGCCCTCTATGGGTTAAAACAAGCGCCACGAGCATGGAATAGTCGCATCGACAAGTACTTTCAAGAAAACAACTTCATCAAGTGCCCTCATGAACATGCTCTCTACGTCAAAGTCAAAGATGGAGATATTTTGATTGTGTGCTTATATGTGGATGATCTAATCTTCACCGGGAGTAATCCAAGCATGTTTGAAGAGTTCAAGAGAGTGATGACCAAAGAATTTGAGATGACCGACATCGGGTTGATGGCATATTACCTAGGCATTGAAGTCAAGCAGAACGAAGAAAGAATTTTCATCTCCCAAGAAAGCTACGCAAAGGAGATACTGAAAAAGTTCAAAATGGACAACTGCAAGCCCGTGAGCACGCCAATGGAGTACGGAGTCAAACTAACCAAGTATGACAAAGGAGAAAGCGTAGATCCAACATTTTTCAAAAGCCTAGTTGGAAGCTTGCGCTACTTGACTTGCACAAGACCAGATATTCTCTATGCTGTCGGATTAATCAGTCGCCACATGGAGAATCCCACAACTACACATTTGAAAACGGCCAAAAGAATTCTTCGATACCTCAAAGGTACTGTTAACTTTGGCTTGTTTTATTCAAGTTCTGATAACTACAAACTTGTTGGATATAGCGACAGTGATTGGGCAGGAGATTCCGACGATAGAAAAAGCACTACTGGATTTGTGTTCTTCATGGGAGACACTGCATTCACATGGATGTCGAAGAAGCAACCGATTGTCACTCTCTCTACCTGCGAAGCTGAATACGTAGCTGCTACTTCATGTGTCTGCCATGCAATCTGGCTGAGAAACTTGCTGAAAGAATTAAGAATGCGACAAGAAGAGCCAACAAAGATCTATGTTGACAACAAGTCTGCAATAGCTCTAGCAAAGAATCCAGTATTCCATGACAGGAGCAAACATATAGATACCCATTATCACTACATAAGAGAGTGCATTGCAAGAAAGGATGTGCAAGTGGAATACGTGAAGTCTCAAGACCAAGTTGCCGACATATTCACCAAGCCACTCAAACAAGAAGACTTTGTCAGACTAAGAAACTCAATTGGCGTCACAAGACAAGATTAAGGGGGGATGTTGAATTGTAATCTTGTCTTGGCCCAAAGATAATTGATCCGGCCCATACACAAAGAAAGATCCATGCACATGCTAGAGAATTCTAGCAAAGTTCAAGTTGGTGGAATAGTCTAGAAGAATGGTGAGGATTCCACCAACATACAAGATTAGTGTAGATAATTCTAGCTTAGGAAGGTAGTGGAATTATCTAGATATCTCTAGCATGATGTTTTCATGCTTCTCCCAGGTTCCATCCATGCCTATAAAAGGAGAAGGCATCCACACCATTTGTAACAACCAAGAGAGCAAGTAGCAAGAAGTGAGAGTGTCAAGTAAGAAGTAAGAAGAAGCAACAAAGCTTCTAAGAGTGTTAGAGTGTTTCCTTTTGTACTAAGTTTGTGAGTGAATAAAAACCTTGTGTAATACTTTGAGAATTCTTTCTTTCTCTTGCCTATCAATTCCGTTGCGTTACATTTTCCTTTGTAAGATAAACCTCTCCAAGTAGTGAAGCATTTTTAAACCCCAACACTCGTTGCAATGCTCAAATGGCTACTCGAAGACTATGAGGCAAAACCCACCTGGGAAGATCATCTGCAAGTTGCAACCGGGTAATAACACTAATAAATTTTCCATCTTTTCCTATATTGTTTTGCATTTCCTGTGTAAAATTTATGTGCTGGGGGTTCTTGCACTGCCATGGATTCAATGGAGTTCTGGGTATTTTTTCAAATTTGATCAGCGTTGGATTTGTGGGCAGTGCACATTTGTTTCACTTGAATGATTTTTTTACTGTTTCATACTTGATCATAAGCTTTTTGATTGGGGAACGCAGGTTGATGTTTAGTTATTTCTGGGAATTTCCTTGGTCATTTGTTAGTAATTCGAAACCGGAATCTTCAGACTCTTACTGATATCGGATCTGGATTTTGTTCAGTTAGGACTAAAGTTTCAATATAGAGGGAAGGATTGAAAAAAATATAGTCGAGACGTGAATTGGTGGAAGGGAAGTAGAATCGCTTGAATTATCGGGTTTCGATTGGCTGCTGATGAAAGCACCGGTAAGAACAGCCGTTCGGGTTTTGGATCAGCAGCTTGATCAGCCCATGGATGAAGAGGCTAAAAGGCTGAGAAACATGCACGAGGAACAGGTATTTTCTCACTCCCCCACCCCTATTGAAACTGCGCAAATGTCAGTCCTGAAGGGTTTGATCTTTTGAAATGGGCAGTCGATTGATTTACATCTGTGATTGATTTTCACTAACCGGCGGAGCCACATTAAGGGCTACCCTGGGCTGTAGCCCAGGTAGCTTTCGGTAGAAAATAAAATTTTACATGTAATTTTTATTAATTTTCAAATGTAGTCCACCATATATTTAGTCACCGATTCAAATTCTCTCGATTTAATTATATAATATAGTTTATAAACCATCTTTTTTCTCACATCTTTTTTCTCATCACTTCTTGTACATGTACAAGTTTGAATTTGTTTGAATAACAAAAGTTCTTGGCTCACCTTGAGAAAATTTTCTTAAGCTAGTTGATACTATAAAAAAAATATAGTATCAAGTTTCTTTGTTTATAAAGATTTAAATCTTTAAGCTAGCCCATCCGGCGAATAATTTCTAGCTCCACCATTTTGTACGAGCGAATGTATCTGTCTATATCCGACATGGATGTAACATATCTTGAAGTTTTTGGGCTATTTCTGAACTAACTTTGCTCCCCTTGCTGATCACTTTTTTTTTTTATGCCCTTCCAGAAATTTTCAGCATTAGAGCTCGTGCAGGTAGCATTTCAAAGCCTTGGCGTTGTATATGGAGATTTAGGCACATCTCCTTTGTATGTTTTCTACAATACGTTTCCTGATGGAATTGGTGATCCGGAGGATTTGATTGAAGCTTTATCTGTTATTATCTATTCCCTCACCCTTATTGTACTCCTGAAGTACGTTTTTATTGTCTGTAGAGCAAATGACAATGGTCAAGGTAATTGATCTCAATCTATCATACTTATATAAGCTCCTCCTCCCCTCCCTACCTTTCTAATCTTAGCATAGGCCTTGAACGCTATGCTCAGATCATTAATCTAAAGCATCTATGTTTGATTATTGCGACAATAACATCGAGAGCTATAGATGCTGTTATGTTTTGTTCTAATGTAGTGCCAAATGAGGTAAATTTCTCTATTTTATTCTGCGATTTTCAGTTCATGTAAACTTATCCTCCTCATGGTTGCAAATGGAACGTTTGCTCTCTATTCATTACTCTGTCGATATGCAAAAATAAAGGCTATTCCTAACCAAGACCAAACGGATGAGGCACTCACAACATATAGTCATTCTATGTTTGGTGAGAAATCATTTGCTGCAAGAACCAGGAGATGGTTGGAGGGACATGCATTTATGCAGAGCACACTTCTTATCCTTGTCCTAGTTGGCTCTTCCACGGTGATTGGGGATGGGATTCTGACTCCAGCCATATCAGGTAACCATCTTCATTGTTGATGTTGTAGTATCATTCTTCTGCCTAACTATCCTCATTGGTGATTTTCTTAACACATTCAACATCCATGATTAGTTCCTAAAGAAGTAACTCGTAAGGGAAGCGTATTGCAATCCCTTGCACCCTGATCAATCTTAATTACGAAACTATTATCTTCTTCTTTCTAATGGTAAAAGGTACTTCCTTGAACGCATTTTGACCAAGTAAGAACATTGAAATATTCTACACATGTTCTATGATATTCTTTATTAGTTTTATTGGAAGCTGTTTAACCATATATATTCTGTTTGATAAGTACATGCAACACTTATCGATGCTATATTTTGCAGTTCTGTCAGCGGTTGGGGGGATCGACATACGCCACTCTGAGATTAGTAATGGTATCTCCATAAGCTTGACATAAAGATACTGTTTCATTTGTTTGCAAATACTCCGAGATTACATACGAAAAAAATCGCAAAAAACAAACATTCAAAGATTAGGTAACAGAACAAAAGTTTTTTATGGTTATAAACGAAAAATCACAATTTAACGGTTATTTTAGCTTCGATTTTGATGATTTTTTGTAGCTACACTCCTCGATCCTATAAGAATGCAATGAATGAATTCGATCTTCAATTTAAAATAATTACACTAGTGGATAAATCATATTTTATGCTTAATGGAAGTATAACATTAACTTTTAAGCGTTTGTTAAATCTATCAATTTGATAAGATATGCATTCTACGAAACTAGTTTCAACAATCCAACTGTCAAATATGTTTGTATATACTCCGAGATAGCATGTGTAAAAAATCACAAAAAAAAAAAAAATATTCAGAGATTATTTTGGCGGCCATTCAAAATTTTGCTTTGTTCGTGTCAGTTATATCCGACAGGGCCATGAGTGAAAAAAAAAAAAAAAAAAAATTTAAACATGTGTTTATTTATTTATTTTTAATCAATATAACATTGTAAAATAATAAAATCAGACATGATAGAGTATACCAGATGTTCATGTGTGTTTATGTGTCAAACAATGTGCTTTGTGACGCATTGAAAAAAAATTGTTTGAATTTCTTTGTATCTTGTTGCTTGCCTGTCAGGGAGCATAATCCTTATTACAAAAATGATAGAGCTTCAAATTGTAGTATATTGTTATTATTCTCTCAGAAAATTTATGGCTGGTGGGAATTGGATTCATTAGACTTTAGAGTCATGAGTGAAAAAAAAAAATTAAAATATGTGTTTATTTATTTATTTTTAATCAATATAACATTTTAAAATAATAAAATTTTCATTTCTGTCGGTTGTAACCGTCATAATACTAAAATAATAACCACTAGAAAGTAAAATAATAAAATAGTCAATTTCTGTCGGTTATAACCACCATCATTACATAAAAACCATCAGAATCTTTCAAAAATATTTAAAAAATATTGTTGGATATAACCGACAATATTATTTGATATCCGCCACTAAATATCCGGCAGGAATTTCTGTCGGATATAACTGACAAGATTTTTCTAATATCCGTCACTAATTAAATGATGTGTCGGATACAGTTTATCCGACATGATTTTTCTAAAACCGCCACCATCATTCGCCACATAAAGCTAATATTGTAGCAGTGGACGTTAGGCGCTAGCCCGATGGCGAGCTGGGCTGCCTATACGTCTGGACAGGGTCTAGGCAAATGCCTAGGTGGACTAGGCGGTTTTAAGTAAACTTGCCATGTATCATACAAGTAAGTGCCTACTTACACTTCAAAAAACCTATACTTGTATTGAGAATGGGGTTTTTTATTTTAACTAGGTTTGTTATTCAACTATAACATACAACAATCACCACCACCAAAATACTCCTCTTAAGCCTAGGAACAAACCCCAAACAAGTTTGGGGGCGGCGGAGCACCGGAGAGTACAAATTGAAGTGCACCCATTTCAAGGGTTTCTGGCGGATCAAGGCAATTTCAGGCCTCTTCCAGGCCGAATTGGACCTTGACCTAGGTATAAAACTTATTCCTCTCTTCATGATCTTTATTTTGGTATAATTTGATAATTTTTGGAGTTAGGTGAATTTTTCGGCCGCCACTTGCGGCGGCGTATGGCCCGATGACACACTCAATTCTTTTAGGCTAAAATCAATATCTCAATTCCGTATGTGACATCCAATTGATGATATTCCGTTGTTTGAACATATTTTAGTTAAGGTCCACCACTTAAACATTATAGCAAACGACGATCCGATCGTTGGATCGCCACTGAACTTTAATATGTTATTGTATGTAACATCCCACATCGCCCAGGGGAGTGATCCTTAAATGTATATTCCCATCCCTACCTAGCACGAGGCCTTTTGGGAGCTCACTAGCTTCGGGTTCCATGGGAACTCCGAAGTTAAGCGAGTAGCGCGCGAGAGCATTCCCAGGATGGGTGACCCATCGGGAAGTTCTCGTGTGAGTTCCCAAAAACAAAACCGTGAGGGTGTAGTCGGGGCCCAAAGCAGACAATATCGTGCTACGGTGGTGGAGTGGGCCCGAGAAGTGGTCCGCCCCAGGCCGGGATGTGACATTGTACGTAATATTTAAGGACATTAGGAACTAACGGATCAGAAATCTGACCTACAGATCTTGATGAATTGAATTTCTAAGTTTGTAAAACCAAACATTGACCCCCACTTAATTTTTGCGCTTGGCGGAGATCCGACCGTTGGATCGTTCCGAAATTTTAGGATATTGTTCTAAAATATTAATGAGACTCTTGGGAAGTTACGGATTGAAAATTCAGCTGGTGGATATTCTTGATTGAATTACTAGGGTTGACTTTGATCCAAATGTTATAATTGTTCTTAAATTCTAAAATTAGTATTACTAGAAACTCAATGAAGCTTTGCGGGCCTTTCTCGGTGAATGAATTTAATAAATGTGATATGATTATTACCCTGATTTCGTATTTAGTATCCTTTGTGGATACGACTTGGTTTTATAAACGTGTTTTATATAAAATGGTTTTTTTTTTTTAATATTTAGCCTTCGATCTATTATTATGAAATGTGATTTGATTTGTGCATTGGGAATATTTGTGAAATGTGATTTGAAATGCATGTGGGATTGTTTGTTAAATGTGAGGGCTAGCCCATTGTCATGGGGATTCATTGCTTCAATATCGTTTCATTTCTTGCTTCGTTGATCCGTTCTAAATTTAGTACTTGTGCTTGTTTCATTTCGTTGAGCCTTCGTGAATTGAGTAACTTGATTCATATCTTGTTTCTTCGAGCTATTGTTATGTTTCTTGGACTTCATCTCGGTTCCATTTAGTGGTCCGAAACTGGTTCCCCTGGGATTCCGTTGAGTGGTTTGGTTCCCTGCTCTATCTGGATTCTTTGAGTGGTCTGAAATCCCTCATGCTCTGCAATTCCATTGAGTGGTCTGAAATCGTATCCGGCTTGGATTTCGTTGAGTGGTCTGAAATCGTATCCCACTTGGATTTCGTTGAGTGGTTCGATATCCATTGTACTCTATGATTCCCTTGAGTGGTTCAGAATCATTACCACTCGGATTCCGTTAAGAGGTCCAGAATCCCTTCTACTCTGCGATTCCGTTGAGTGGTCTGAAATCGTATCTTGGTTTGGATTTCGTTGAGTGGTCCAGAATCCCGCTTGGTATTTTGGTTCCGTTTAGTGGTTCGGAACCCGATGTTGTTGAATTTCGTTAAGTGGTCCGAAATCACATTTCTTGACTTCGTTAATTCGTTGGATTTGATTATTTGAGAAGCTTCAGAGATGTAGGCTTCGGCAGAATTGTGTCGCTCTAGCCTTACATTTTGGTGTATTGTATGAGCTATTAATTGATGTGATTGTGGAATGGAGTTGGAAAGCATGTGTTTGTGTGAATGGCAAGATGACAACTCTTGTTTGGTTTATGGTTAATGTGTAGTGTGGTACTCTATGTTTTCTGCTAGAAAATGTTTTGCAAAAAGTTCAGAGTTAACAAACGGTGAATTACGAATGGCTTAATCCCGTCTGAGGGTACGTAGGCAGTCTAACGAGGAGGTTAGATGCAGCCATAAAGTTACAAAAAATTACTACGCAATTGGACCTTGAGTGGTGTTTTGTCCATGTATCGGAGGCGGGGCATGATAGATGTACAGGTACATTGTGACGTCACGTGTCGATCCTGGACGTATGTTAGGTTTGAGGCGTGACATTAGGGGGGCACAACCCTGATTAGAAAACAATTAAAAGCAAAATGGGAATTGTTCACGTGGGAAATAGAAAGAGAAAGTCTTTCTTCTTCTTTGTAACCATGGTCCAAGAACAACAAAGCCATGGCGTTGGCGTGAGTCAACGTCTTAGATGGATTAGGATTATATTTATGTTTCCTAGTTTGGTTGTAACTCTCTTTAATGTTCCTTGAATTACAAGGAAATAAGTTGTGTATATATGTTGCCTTCCAACGAAAGAAGAGAAATATGAAGAATATAGAAGAAGTATGGACATATGGAGGTGAAAGATTACACTGATGCAGATTGGGCTGAAAATATTACTAATCGGCAGTCCACCTCAAGCTATTTTACATTTGTAGCTGGTAACCATGTAACCTGGAGAAGTAAAAAGCAGAATGTGGTAGCAAGGTCTTCAGTGGAGCCTGAATATAGATGAATGGAACCTAGTATTTGTGAGCTTCTGTGGCTTTAGATCCTGATTACAGAGATAGGGTTTAAGCCCCAGGGTCCTATGTTGTTGTACTGTGATAATTAAGCAGCACGAGATAGCTAATAATCCAGTGCAGCATGATAGAACTAAACATGTTGAGGTGGATAGACACTTCATAAAAGAAAAACTGGATATTAAGTTGGTTGACATTCTATTCGTGAAGATTGATGAGCAGCCAGCAGATGTTTTGACACATGCAGTCTTAACAAGAATGTTTCAGGACTTACTCGTCAAGCTGGGCCTAGGAGATATCTATGCACCAACTTGAGGGGGACTGTTGGCGTGAGTCAACGTCTTAGATGGATTAGGATTATATTTATGTTTCCTAGTTTGGTTGTAAGTCTCTTTAATGTTCCTTATATTACAAGGAAAAAAGTTATGTATATATGTTGTCTCCTAACGGGAGAAGAGAAATATGAAGAATATATTTGAAACCCTAAAACTAGTTTTATCTCATGGTGGTCTTTTATGTGTTCCACTTTGTCTAAAATTAGATCTTTCTTCTTATTTCAAGGTTTTTTGTTGTAGAACATCTACACAACTATGGTAGTATTCACTCTTCCATCACATGCCCAGACCATTGGGTGGTCCTCAAAGGTCCTCACATGTGCTTCTTTAGACGTTCGGGTGGTCCCGAGACCACCCGGGTCCAGGAGTGGATCCACCCTTGTGTGCTTGTGTCTAATTCAATGGTTAATGAAAAAGTA